GAGAATCGGCCCGGGGATGCGGCCGGAGATGCAGCCCCGAGCAGCAGGCTGGAGAATCGGCCCGGAGATGCCCGGAGATGCATCCCGGAGCAGCAGCAGCCATACCATATGTACAATCTTTCACAGAGGCCGCTGTCCCGGTTCTCTGTCACCCGGGGATGTGGAGCCACGGCGGGGATGAGTAGCTCCGCAGCAGGCCCTGGTTCTCAGAGAGGCTGCCATCCTGGTTCTCTGTTACCCGGGGATGTGGAGCCACGGCTGGGGTGAGTAGCTCCGCAGCAGGCCCTTGTTCTCAGAGAGGCTGCCATCCTGGTTCTCTGTTACCCGGGGATGTGGAGCCACGGCTGGGGTGAGTAGCTCCGCAGCAGGCCCTGGTTCTCAGAGAGGCTGCCATCCTGGTTCTCTGTTACCCGGGGATGTGGAGCCACTGCGGGGATGAGTAGCTCCGCATCAGCCCCTTTAACCGTTCCTGGTTCTCACGGAAGAACAGGATTTTACCCATAAAACAAGCACAAAACACGGGCAAGAGTCGTTTAAGGAGGCTTTATTGAACCAGCACACATTATTCATCCACAGTCTGCTCAGCGTCGCCCCTGGACACGTCGAAGGTCCTGCGCATGGCGGCCAACTGGGTCACACTCAGCTGCATCGCGTAGAAACGGTCCGCGGTTCTGGTGTCGTGACACATCAAGTGTGACATCTGCCTTCGGACCTCCGTGCACTGGGTGTCCCTCGCCTGTGAAGAGAGAGAGAGAGAGAGTGAGAGGGACCGTGGAGAAAGCTCAAGGCTGGGGACGAAGCTCAGGTCTACCTACCATCGTGGCTACCGCGGTGCGTATGTCGGTCAGGGAGGGGGATCCAGGCAGGCGCATCCTCGCCCATGCGTCCCGGGCGAAGGAGGTCAGCTTGTGTACCGGTCCTCCGTTGCAGTTGAAAAACACCAGGTCGGTCTGGGGGCGCAGCTTGCTGCGTATGGTCATCCAGCTCTTTAGCCATCCGAACTCCTCCGGCGTCAGGAAGAGCTGGGCGCTCCCGAAAGCCCTGGCCGTCTTGTGTTGTCTCACCTGCGGGATGGAGGGACAGACAGACGAGGACAGCAGAGGTGAGTTTCTGACCTGGAATGTGGAGCTCTCTGCTGGGGAAGGAAGGTAAGTTGTTGGGCTGGAGGTCCTGGTTCGCAGAGGCCCGTGACTGCAGCCTCTCGGTTGATGGGTTCAACCGAGAGGCTGCAGTCACGGTTCTCTGCTACCAGGGCCCCTGGTTCTGCCTCCGGGATGAAGTGCTCGCTGGGACGGGGCACTTACGTTAATGACATAGCCGGAGGAGTCGCGCCGGTGTCCATCCTCGGCTTCTCGTACCTCAGCAGCTGTCATGTTGCGGACCACGCCTGCTCTGTGGCCGTACAGAGAAGCGACCAACAGCGCGAAGCAACCGAATAGCTGGTATCGCAGGACCACGTCGTGCCTCCTCCGCGATGAGTCGCGCAAAAGCTCCGGGATCCATCTGCGACACTCCTCCAGACACCTGCGCAGAACCGGCGCTGAAACAGTGCGTTTCTCCTTCTGGTCTTTGACCTGTATCTGGTGCAGCACCACCGTGGTTGAGATCTGCCCCGCGGCGGATTTCAGGGCCCGCGAGACGGAGACGAGTCCATGCTGGGCACGGTGGAGGTCTCAGGCGGAGTCTCCGTGAAGTAGGTCAGGAACTGACCCGTGTTGACCAGGTACACCTTCACTGTCGTTATCTGCTTGCCCTGCTTGAGCAGGTCCGCCGGCCAGCCGAGGACCCTGTCGGCATCAACCATGAACCGCCAGGTCTCCAGGCCGCTCTTTCCCTCGGCCATCCTGCGCAGGAACTGGTCCACTCTGCCCATCTTGGACCTGGCGTTCTCCACATGCTTCTTCGACGGGAGGGCACCCACCAGGTGCCTCCTGTACCCGGCCAAATACTGCATGACACACTCAGGAAAGTGTACGGTTGTACGCACCGGTTCTGTGGGCTCGGTGGGCTCGGTGGGCTCTGTGGGGTCCGCAGGCGTGGTCGAGGTCGGGCTCTGCCGTCTGGATCCGCCCTCCTGCGGGTCCTGCTGGTCCTGCTGGTTCCCCCGCTCCGGGGAACGTGGCTCGTCGGGGCTGGGAGGCAAGGGTGGTCCCGGCGATGGTGGAGCTGAGCCCCCGTGGTGGTGGTGGTCTACCTCCATCAGCTCAGGCTCCTCCGGCTCCTCCTGCGCCCCCCTGGTCCTCCGCCTGCATGTCCTCCTCGTCGTCCTGCTCTTCCTCCTCATCCTCCACCACCGGTCTGCGTTGCGGAGGTGAGCTGCGGGATGGCCGAACCTCCGCCTCTGCCGGGGCCCTGTCGCCTGCCTCCGGCAGGTCCAGCCCGGTAGCCATGGGTGGGTGGGGGTCCGAGCGCCTCAGCTGCCGCAGCTTCTCCAGCGTCTTCTGCCACTGCAGGCCGGCCAGAAGACGCCGCTTCTGCCGCTGACCCATGTCGCGGTGGGACTCCTGCAGGTGCTGCTGCACACGGCGGCCGTCGTACCCGCAGCGCTGCACCGGACACGGCATCCCCTTGACGTTCACCCGGCCCCTGGCGAACGCCAGGAGGACACGACGCTCCACCGGATTCCTAACCTTGTGCTTCTCGTCCAGGTGCTCACGCAGCCGCCAGGACTTGCGTGAGCACACGGGACATCGGTTCACGAACTTGGACGCGGTCATGTTGCTCCTCACCCTGCTGCTGCAAAACTCCGACTGAGGCCGGCGAGCACATGCCCCTGGCCAAGTAGCCGGCGTCCTAATCAGGCCTGATGCGGTGCAGCTGCGGGCAATCGGGCCGCAGCGCACCTGCGGCCGGGCGGGGCGCAGAGTCCGCCCCAAGAGCCGGGATGGATCCAGGGACTGGATTGGCGGTCCCTTCCAGCAGGCGGCCCCCGCATCTGCGGTGCCGCCCTCCACGGCGTCCGAATCGGCGGTCACCCGGCCGCAAGTGCGGCAGCCCTCTTAGGACCCTAAGTGGGGTTAGGCACCCCGAACATTGGGTCACGCAAATGGGCTGCGTGGTGCCGGCGGTGTCCCCGGCGCTGCAGCAGCTCCCGCTGGTGACAGAGGCTGCCTCCACGGGTCTCTGTCGGCCGGGGACGCCGGTACCTCTGCCCGACACGCGGTCCGCACTCCCGGTCCGTGCCTCTCCCCCCTTTCCCCCCCGCCCCCGGTCTGTCCCTTCGGCCTGGCTAGCCGGCCCGGTTCTCCATCCTGCGGAACCGGGCCTGCTCGCCAGGCTGAAGGGACAGACCGGCCGTCCAGCCCCTTCCCCCGGTCTGTTCCTTCGGCCTGGCGAGCCGGCCCGGTTCTCCATCCTGCTGAACCGGGCCGGCTCGCCAGGCCGAAGGGACAGACCCTCCTGCCCCCGTCGCCCGGTCCGCTTGCGGACCGGGCGACGGGGGCAGGCCCCTCCTTAGCCGAAGCTCCAGTGCCTTACCAGGGGCACTGCGTCGGGAAAATAACCAAAGTCCAGCAGCCCTGGCTGATAGTCTAAGTGTCAGAGCCTTACCAGGACCACAATTCTATTTATTTTCCCTTACCAGGGGCACTGCGTCAGGAAAATAACCAAAGTCCAGCAGCCCCGGCTGATAGTCTAAGTGTCAGAGCCTTACCAGGACCACAATTCTATTTATTTTCCCTTACCAGGGGCACGGCTCTGCTGGGCGTGTGACTGGTTGGTTGAATCCGTGGAAGGGGGCTTGTGTGGGTCTGCAGGTTCGGATGGAGGGCCTGGTTCTCAGAGAGGCTGCGGTCCCGGTTCTCTGTTACCCGGGGATGTGGAGCCACGGCTGGGGTAAGTAGCTCCGCAGCAGGCCCTGGTTGTATGAGAGGCTGCGGTCCTGGTTCTCTGTTACCCGGGGATGTGGAGCCACGGCTGGGGTAAGTAGCTCCGCAGCAGGCCCTGGTTGTATGAGAGGCTGCGGTCCTGGTTCTCTGTTACCCGGGGATGTGGAGCCACGGCTGGGGTAAGTAGCTCCGCAGCAGGCCCTGGTTGTATGAGAGGCTGCGGTCCCGGTTCTCTGTTACCCGGGATGTGGAGCCAAGGCTGGGGTAAGTGGTTGTGATGGAGGGCCTGGTTCTCAGATAGGCTGCGGTCCTGGTTCTGTGTTACCCTGGTCACTGCGTGTGACCTGGGTTACGCAGAACCAGGACTGCAGCCTGTCTAAGAACCAGGGTCTCCACCATGTTTGTTTGTCACCCGGGGACGTGGAGCCACTGTTGGGGTAAGTATTTTGGCTGCTGTCCCAGTTCAGTTACCCGGGGCTCTGGTCCCCTGTCCCGGGTAGAATTAAAAACACTTTACCGATTCCTGGTTCTCAGAGAGGCTGCTGTCCTGGTTCTCTGTTACCCGGGCATGTGGAGCCACGGCTGGGGTGAGTAGCTCCGCAGCAGGCCCTGGTTCTCAGAGAGGCTGCTGTCCCGGTTCAGTTACCCGGGGCTCTGGTCCCCTGTCCCGGGTAGAATTAAAAACACTTTACCGATTCCTGGTTCTCAGAGAGGCTGCTGTCCTGGTTCTCTGTTACCCCGGGGATGTGGAGCCAAGGCTGGGGTGAGTAGCTCCGCAGCAGGTCCTGGTTCTCAGAGAGGCTGCTGTCCCGGTTCTCTGTTACCCGGGATTGTGGAGCCTCTGCCGGGTTGAGTGGCTCCGGAGCGTGGCCCCCCGGTTCTCATAGAGGCTGCAGTCTCGCTCCTCTCCCCCGTGCTTGAGTGGTGGATTCCGCCTGTGAGTTTTCGCTCCGGTCGGTCAACTTCAACTTGCGAAAAAGCGTGTAAAAATGAATGCCACCCGGGCAAGCCATACATGCTTTTAAAGGTCTCGCTGAGGAGAACAATTCGGCGTGGGTCTCTGATTTTTATACCGTTTCCCCGATTTTTAAGCCGCGAAAGAGTGCCGTTTTTCCGCCCGGTCAACTTCAACCTCCGGTAGAGCGGGTGAAAACGCTTTCAACCCGGGGAAGCCATATATCCCCGTGAAGGCCTAAGCCAGGAGAACAATTCGGGGTGGGTGTCGCGTCTCTACGCGGTTCCCCCGCTGCGAGGCAAGCGGCGGAAGTCGCGCCGGAAAAGCGTTCGAAAATCGGTCAAAAAGGCCGAAATCCGGGAAAAACGCACCACGGGCCGGTAGCCCGTGTTCCGGAGCACAGCCCTGTGCGGTCGAATGATTTTTAGCACGCTC